CTGGGCCCTCCCACATCACTCATCAAGAAGATGCCCCTCAGACATGGCCACAGGCCAGTCCAATAGAGGAAATTCCCCAATTGAGACTCCCTCAATGCAGGTGTGTCAAGTTGACACTAAAGCTATCCAGCACACCTATTATGCTAATAAGGTGTCTGGTTCTCGATGTTGTGATAGGACACAGCCCTACCAAAGAATCTGAGCTGTAACTTCTTGATTGGACCCCTACCCCTATATAAGCTTGTGCCCTTCTCCAATAAAGTGGATCTGAGTCACCGAACCGGGTCTCCTGTGTCTGAATGCAGCTCTGCTGACACAGTCTCCTCACCAGCCCTAGGGTCCGGGACTAGGCAGAAGTAGCGATGATCAGAGGCGGTGCCCATGCAAACGGAGGAGCAGCGCCAGTGCAATCGGATGTGGTGCCTGCTAGAACGGAGGAGCGGCACCCCTGCAATCAGAGGCGGTGCCCGCTAGAACGGAGGAGCGGCACCCGTGTGATCGAAGGCAGCACCTGGCAAGTGGAAGAGCGGCCGCAGCTGGCACCCAACATGGGGCTGGTCCGGTGCCCCCTTGTTGTGTGTGGTGGGTCCGTGGTCGCGCGCTGCTGGGCGCCGGCTCTACTCCTCGGATTGGGCATGGCCAGTGCAGTTGGAATGGGTGCCTCTGTACTCATTATACAAGACCGAAATCACAAGGCTCTTAGCCGAGCCATCGATGCAGACATCACAGATGTAGAAAGCTCTGTTTCCCATTTACAACAGTCCCTGTCTTCATTGGCAGAGATGGTCCTACAGAACAGGAGAGGCCTTGATCTCATACTCCTCCAACAAGGGGGATTATGTGTAGCTCTAGGAGAGGAATGTTGTTTCTAGGCTAATAATTCTGGAGTTATAGAGAAGCCACTCAACAGAGTCATAAAAGACTCTCAGAACAAGAAAGACAGAGACATCAGTCTCAAGGATGGTATGAGTCCTTTAACCTTTCCCCTTGGCTTACCACACTTTTGTCTGCCCTGATTGGTCCCCTTGCTTTGTTAACCTTTCTCCTGATTTTTGGACCCTGCATTGTTAAAGGTCTCATCAGTTTTGTTAAGGCCCACATTTCTCTAGTTTAGTTAGCTGTCATCCCATCTCAACATCTGATACTCTCATATTTTAAATGCCCAAAAAACAAACATGCCTCCACAAACAATGACCTGCTGTTCCTTGCCCTTACCAACCTATAATTGGCTTTTATAAAAGAAAAAAGGGGGAGATGTGGAGATAGGCTTGAGCCTGGGGTGAAAGTCTCAATGACAGCCATACAGCAGGCCTGAGGCAATGGCCCTACCAAAGATCTGAGTTGTAACTTCTTGATTGGACCCCTACTCCTGTATAAGCTTGTGCCCCTCTAAAATAAAGTGGATCTGTGTCAGCAAACCGGGTCTCCTGTGTCTGAATGTGGCTCCGCTGACACAGTCTCCTCATCAGCCCTGGGGTCCGGGACCTGACGATGGGAGGCGGCGCCCATGCCCATGCAATTGGAGGTAGCACCGGGCTAGCAGAGGAGTGACCATGGCATCAGGCAAGCGAAAGAGTGGCCACAAACAGAAAGAGAGAAGTATTGAATTTGGGTGACTGGGGTCCAACATGATCTTTAGGAGGAATAGAGGACTCATTTTCAGGCTGAACATTTAAGAAAAAAAAAAACATGGATCTTGAAACTGCTATGTCTGCCCCAGTCAGCTGACCATCGTTGGACCTGAGTTTAAAAGCAACAGCTCAGCTGGGTGAAGTGGTGTTTTCATCCCAGCACTCAGGAGGCAGAGGTAGATGGATCTCTGTAAGATCCAGGCCAGCCTAATCAAGTTCCAGGCCAACTGAGGCTAGAGGGAGACCCTGCCTCAAAAAACAAACAAATAACACAAAGAAAGGAAGGAGGAAAGGAAGGAAGGAAGGAAGGAAGGAAGGAAGGGAGGGAGGAAAGAAGGATGGAAGGAGGGAGAGAGGGAGGAAGGAAGGAAGGAAGGAAGGAAGGAAGGAAGGAAAGAAAGGACGGAAGGAGGGAGGGAGGGAGGAAAGAAGGAAGGAAGGAGGGAGGGAGGGAAGGAAGGAAGGAAGGAAGAAAGGGAGGAAAGAAGGATGGAAGGAGGGAGGGAGGGAGGAAGGAAGGAAGGAAGGAAGGAAGGAAGGAAGGAAGGAAGGAAGGAAGGAAGGAAAGAAGGAAAGAAGGAAAGAAGGAAAGTAAAAGGAGCGATGGCCCAGTAGGCAGTCAGGAATCAGGAACAACTCCAAATTCTTTGGACTTAGCACCGAGTCAAATTTTACTCAAGAGTTCTGCCTTAGTCTTCTGGAAACGACAGGCAAGTAAGTTGTGGACTAAAAAGTTGGATGTACAAATCTGGAGTCCAAAGGAAAGTCTAAGTCAGAGATTTACATTTAAGAGTTCTCATAGTATGTTGAATTAGCAGAAAAAGTCCACTTTGTCCTGAGCCAGTCTACGCAGGGTTGCCTGTTTTGGCATTCTTCCCAGTCACTAGCATCATCCCCCAGCAACACATTCAGGGCTCTTCATGGCCCTGATAAGGGCCCAGAAGTATAACCAAAAAATGGCTGCTGAAGTCCAGCCAGTCTAACAACTGTAACGCGGTCTTTTGACCTCCATCTGGTCCAAATTGTTAGGAAGACTTCTGTGGGTTTTGCCTTTACAAACTCTGTACCCTTGAGCTTCAGTGCTGAGAGAATTTCAAAGGCACTAACCACTCTCAGTCACCTTCTAATCAATAAAGGACTCCTTTCCCTTTTAATTGGTTTATGCCTGTGGTGGTGATCTATAATTCTCTTGCCTGGGTATAACAAAGTCAGGCTATAATTTGATTTCTTAAATTAAAAAAAAAAGTTTGGCTGGGTGTGGTGGCATATGCCTTCAATCCCAGTACTCAGGAGGCAGAAGCAGGCAGATCACTGTGAGTTCCAGGCCAGCCTGGACTACATAGTGAGTTCCAGGCCAGCATGGTCTACATAGTGAGTTCCAGGCCAGCTGGGGCTACCGGGAGACCCTGTCTCAAAAACAAAAACAAGTCAATTTAACCTCAAGATCACCAAATTATTGAAAGACTGTTGTATTATAGTCTTTTCTTTCAGGGGTGGTGGTAGTGGTATTAGTTTTGTTGTTGCTGTTGGGTTGTGTATGTGCCTGTCTGTGTGTCAGTATGTGTGTGTGTTGTATGTATGAGGTTTTGATTTTCTTTGGAGTCAGAGTCTTTTTACATTTTTATTGATATATTTATTTTTATGTGTATGAGTGTTTTGCTGTATATAAGTAAGAGCTTCACATGTATGCATTTCTCAAGGAGGTCAGAAGAAGGCATCAGATCCCCTGGCATTATGGATGATTGTTAGCTACTGTGTGGGTACTGGGAACTGAACCTGGGTCCCCTGCAAGAGCAGCCAGTATGCTCAACTGCTGAGCCATCTCTCCAGTCCCACTGAGCAAGGGTCTTATGTAGCTCAGGTTGCCCGCAAACTTGCTACATAGCTGAGGGAGTCCTTGAACTCCTGATTCTCCTGTTTTTGCCTCTAGAGTGTTGGGATCACAGGCATGAGTCTCCATATGCACTTTATATTCTTGTTTACTTTTCTTTCTGTCCTCAGGCCCAGCTTCTATTTTCAGAACCCCACGGCAAGTATACCCCAAAAGCCACCAGGTTCATTCAAGTCCAAACTCTGTTCTCAAGATAACATTTGATATTACCAGCTGCTTCCTGCTTCTTAGCTGTGAATCTCAGAAAACAGAAACTGTCCTAGACAGGACCTTAAGAAGAGATGAAGGAAGAGAAGGAAATGTTTTACAGGCTCACTTAAGTAAAATATCAACCCACAGTAATCCCATTTTCCACAATCTGATTGGTAACTGCTAGATCCAAAGAAAGATGTAAACTACTGATTTCATTAAGGCAGAAGACAGCCTTCACAACAGCCTTGGGACTAAATGTAGATTTGTCAGACACGGGTGGGGCATCTGTTGTCTAGTATCAAGACACCCTCTTAGGAAGGGAGAGCACCAGGCCAAGGGGCAGGAGGGCTGCAGAAACCTCCAAGAAACCCAGTTCCCATCAGGATGAAGCTTTAGGACTTCCAAAGAATCGACAACAGCAACAAAACCAACAGTGTGGAAACCTTGTCCATTTTTGGACAGCACTATTATTTATTTATTATTATTATTATTATTATTATTATTATTATTTGTTGTTGTTGTTTGGTCTTTCTCCCTGTAGCCCCAGCTGGCCTGGAGTTCACTATATAGACCAGGCTGACCTTGAACTCACAGAGCTCCGCCTGCCTCTGCCTCCTGAGTGATGGGATTAAAAGTGTGTGCCCCCATGAATTATTTCAAATTGAGTACAAAGAGGGAAATAGACTCTATTTTCCTTTTAAGCCTCAAGTGATCGAACTATGCCAGGTTGACACATTGCCACTGGGGCTGTATTTTATCTAGAAACACTGCCTGGAGGAGCAGACAGGACAGAGGGGATCTGTAAACATACACCACTTTTACAAAAGATGGCCAGCAGAGCCATGTGTTTACAGGCTGTGCCAATCAGAACCAAACTGTGAAGGAGGGAATGTGTGCAATGTTTCCTTTCCCTCCCCTCCTTTTCTTTCTCCCTGTCCCTTTCCCTTGCTTCCCCTCTTCCCCTTTCTCTAGAGCAGCCATCTTCCCCCACCTCAGGCCTCCAAACTCCAGGTCTGCCTAAAAACAGTGAAAGTCTGGGAAGTTACTGCAGCCTTTGGGGAATCCTTTGGAGTTAGGCTGGGAGGGCTTATGCACACAGGCCAGATTCTAGGCCTTGGGCCAGGCCTGGGGAAGTGGCAGGGAAAGGGCTAGAAGGGCAGCAGAGGCTGGATTGACACCCCAGTGGAGCCTCCAGCTGGAGACAGGCTGAGGGGGTGGAGCAGGGGCGGGGCGGGGGCGGTGCCCAGCCAGGCCCAGCTCCAGATGGGACGTCCCAGCAGCCAGTGGCTCCCGTCCAGCCTCCAGCCTCCCATCTGCGTCTCTGCAGGACGCTGCCACCCGGGCCGCCATGGCGCTGCGTGTGGCCGTTTTCGACCTTGATGGGGTGCTGGCTCTGCCTTCCATCCCCAGCGCCCTCCGCCGCGCCGAGGAGGCCCTGGAGCTGCCCAGGTAAGAGGACGCGCGGCCTCCAGCCCTGGGTCTGTGCCACGGGGATGCCGGGCTTGCGCTCCCAGGCAATTTCAGGTTAAATTTTAGTAATCTGGGCAAGAGTAAAACAATTACCTGGCACTAAAATTCCAGTTGAACGCGAGTAGATCCTTTCTCTTTCTAAAGGCCAAGCAATTAAACCTTGCTAAAGACTTCGCTATTTCAAAAGGGAAAGGAATTACTAAGCTATTTGCTATCCGTTTCATTCTCTCTAGTGAAACGGGCCTTTAAAGTACCCGCTGAGACTTGTAAAAAGAAAGTTCTGCTCAAAGGCCAGTGTTACAGGTGGATTAGCATAATAGCAGTTGGCAGTAGCAGTGCGCAGCCCAGGAAATGGGGGATTGTGAACCATCCACAATGACAGGGATGTTCAGTTGCAGAGCCACTGATACCAGAAAGTATCTGCTGAAATGCGGGAGGGACACTGACTTGTAAAATTATGCAGTGTGGTTTCAGACGTGTGTGTTGGGAGGATGACTCCATGCAGAAAAGTGGTAGAGATACATTCAGATATCCTGGCATTATTAATTGTGGGTGGGATTGTGAATGATTTTTCTCTACTTTTATTTTCCAGCTTTACAATTTACAAGCATGTATTTTATGATCAGAAAGGAGGGAAGTGTGTTTATTTTTTTTAATTATTTTAAAAATGCAAAAAGGGAGAAAGGTCATCCTTGTAAGACCCGAAGCAGAGATGGAAGACGGAATCCCACGTTACCGCTGAGAGGAAGAGGCAGAGAGGCAGCTTGGCGTCCTGAAATCTGCTCCATCCGGGGATTCTAGAATTATTATCCCCAGAGACCAAAAGGGTTTAACCTTGATACTATACAAATCATGCAACAGGCCAGCCCAAAGGAGGCTCAGCTTCTAAACTAGCCGCACCTTATCAGATGTGGAAACCCAGACTCGCCCAAGAGAGTCCCTTACTCTTGATCACGCAGTAGTTAGTCCAGGTGGCTGTGGAGGCAGTGTTTCCTGCTCCCAGTGTAGCGTCTTCCCTTTGCCTCTTCCCTGACAGTGTCTAAGTAAATATCAATAGCTGAGAACAAAAAATAAATAAGCTGGCTGCAAAGTTCACAACTGGAACAGTCACACCCTGGTTAAGTAGAGTTTAACAGGGAACTCTGGGAATGGAAAGACACTTCCTACCTGTGCTTGCCCAATACAGGTCATTTAGTGGAGGGGGAAACTGGGGAAGGAATAATGAGTTCGTTTTCAAACCCTTGTGTGTGTGTACACCCCTTTTTATGTAAAAGTGGGAGTGCATGTTTGTGTGTGGTGTGCAGATGCACAGGTATATGCAGGTATGCATGCATGTATGTGTGTGCACCCATTTTTATGTGAAGGTGTGTATGCTTATGTGGCAGGGGAGGGGGGAAGAAGTCAACCTTGGGTGTTGTTCCTCAGGAACCATCCATCTGGCTCTTTGAGACAGGGTCTCTCACTGAACCTGGAGATCATTGATGGTCTAGACTTGCTGGCCAGAGAGCCACATGCCTCCACCTCCTCCCCAGAGCTGCCACCACAGCTGATATTGTAGATGAGCATTGGGGATTGAACTCATGTCCTTGTTTGTTCAACATACACTTTACCAACTGAGTTCTCTCCCTACTCCCAAGAAGTCTATATTTATTTTTGTTTATTTATATGTGTATGTGCCAAGGCAAAGGTATGGAAGTCAGAGAACAACATGTGAGTCAATTCTCTCCTTCCACCACGTGGACCTCAGGGATTGAACTCAGGTCATCAGGCTTTGCAGCAAGTGCCTTTACCCACTGAGCTTTGCATTTCTCTTTGACTCATATATTTGGTTTTAAAAAAGACACAGAAGAGATTAATCTGTGAGGCGTGCTTGGGCCTGTGATTTCAGTGATGTGGAGATGAGCACAGGGTGGACTCCCACAGAGATCAGTGGCTGCTGGAGTCAGATCCAGCTTCATTTCTCTGTCCTGCTACCTTCTGTTGTGTTGGCCTTGCTTAATTTGTCCTTTTATTCATCTATTCTCTAAAGTAAGATATTACCTTCCTCTGAGAATTGAAAAAAATATTTTAGTTATTTTTATTTTATGTGTGTGAGTGTATATAAGTGCACCCATGTCATACAATGCCCGCAAAGGCCAGAAGAGAGAGTTGGATCCTCTGGAACTGGAGTTATGGATGGTTGTTAGCTGCCATGTGGGTGCTGGGGTTCAAACCCAGGTCTTCTGCAAGAGCAGCCAGTGCTCTTAATTGCTGAGCCATCTCTCCAGCCCTCCTTCTGGGAATTTTTTGTGAGGATTAAGTAAGCTGACATGTAAAGTGGATCAGCAGCTGAGTTCTTGATACCTGCTTTTATTTACAAAAGTCTTACATGTCTACGAAGTGATACACCAGACATACTCTACTTGATTTTACCCTCACACAGTTCCTTTGAGACCAGGGTTCAAGTTGTTCCCAGGCACTATAAAACACACCATGGCAAAGCTAGTTAAACTTGGGAGGTCAGAGTGCAGGGCCTTAGTCTTGCCTGTCCATCAGGTATGTGAACCAGTCATGAAGATTTCAAAGAGTAAGCAAGAAACATTTACCTTGCACTGGGCATTTGTGACATACTTACCAACAGACATAACTCAGATCTACACAAATGACCAAAGTTCAAGATCACAGCAGTGCCTTGAGAAACACAAAGTTCTTAGGAATTTTCTTATGGCTCTTGATTCCCCACGTTCATCTGTCATGGCCATTTCACTGATCACTGAAATGCAGCATTCAGGGGCTAGTGAAATGGCTAAGAGGCAGAGGCACTTGCCTGCAATCACAACCCTTGGGTTTGGTTCTTGGTACCCACCTGGTGGAGGGAGAGAACTGATGCCCCTAAGTTGTCCTCTGGCCAAGACAGGTACACCGTGTCATGCATGTACACATACACACACACACACACACACACACACACACACACACACAAATAATAAATTAATGTAATAAAAATTAGAGATTGTGTTTTCTGATGCTAAGGTATTGAATGTTCTTGTAATCTCAAATTGCTTCTACTTTTAAGAATCAACCCCTTCCTGCCCCTGCTGTGTAGATACTGACCCCCTTTCCTTTACATTATGTTGCTCCACTGTTTGCTCCTCTTTAATCAGCCCCCATTCTCCAGGCAGAAAAAAAATGTTTTCTCTTGGTTTTCCCATCTCACTCATACACGAAGATATTTGCTTACCTATCACTCATGAATCTCCTAAGGATAGGATCATATTTTTTCCATCTTCTATATCACAGGATATAGCACAAAGCCTTGCACAATTTTGTTCAATTAAAGCTCATGGAGTCTAGCTCTACACTGTTTCTTAAAACTGCTGAAGGGCCTGAGGAATCTTGCTGAGGGTATGATAGGGCAGTGTTCTGATGCTGGGCTGTGGTGAATTGATATAGCTCGAAGTTTCCTACCAGTTATTGAATAATACACTGAAAGTGTGTGAATGAGCTGGCTTGCAATTACACCTTAATAAGACTGTTCAGAAAATACTGTTGGCAAAGGAGTCTTTGCCCACCCTTGAAGCTAAGTAAGGCCACAGATATCAGGTATATGTCTTTTTATAGCTTGCCCAGGATTGCTCCTTTTACTTGCCAGATGGTTAGTCTGATCAAAAGACACTTGAATATCAATAGAAACAAGATACCCGGGTTGGAGATACTTGTTCTAGGACTCAGGATGGTAAATAAGTGCAAGTTCTTTGGCAGGTACAGTTGATAAGAGCCAAGGTATGTCATTTACCAGGGCTGTTATCACAAACAGCACAGACTGGCTGGCTGAGCAAGAGAGCATTCCAGGAGGTCAGAAGTCCAAGGCCAGGGAAGGAGTCATAAGGCTGGTTCCCTCCAATGACTTCCTCCTTGGCTGAGAATGGCACCTTCTCTCTGTGGTCAACCTTACTCTGCAGGTACAGTTGATAAGAGCCAAGGTATGTCATTTACCAGGGCTGTTATCACAAACAGCACAGACTGGCTGGCTGAGCAAGAGAGCATTCCAGGAGGTCAGAAGTCCAAGGCCAGGGAAGGAGTCATAAGGCTGGTTCCCTCCAATGACTTCCTCCTTGGCTGAGAATGGCACCTTCTCTCTGTGGTCAACCTTACTCTGCTGTGTGTGTGTGTGTGTGTGTGTGTGTCTGTCTGTGTGTGTGTCTGTCTGTGTGTGTCTGTCTGTGTGTGTCTGTCTGTGTGTGTCTGTCTGTCTGTCTGTGTGTGTGTGTGTGTCTGTGTGTGTCTGTCTGTGTGTGTGTCTGTCTGTGTGTGTGTGTGTGTGTGTGTCTGTGTGTGTCTGTGTGTGTCTGTCTGTGTGTGTCTGTGTGTGTGTCTGTCTGTCTGTATGTCTGTGTGTGTGTGTGTGTCTGTGTGTGTCTGTGTCTGTCTGTCTGTGTGTGTGTGTCTGTTGGCTATTATTCATTTTACTGTAGAACAATGGTCCACTATATGTCCTGTCTGTGTGTGTCTGTGTGTGTGTCTGTCTGTCTGTCTGTGTGTGTGTGTCTGTGTGTGTGTGTGTCTGTCTGTCTGTGTGTGTCTGTCTGTGTGTGTCTGTCTGTGTGTGTCTGTCTGTCTGTCTGTGTGTGTCTGTGTGTGTCTGTGTGTGTGTGTCTGTGTGTGTCCATTCAAACAGCCTGTTTTTATAAGAATACCAGTCATGCTCAGTAGTACCAACCCCAATGATTTCATTTACCTTCATTACCACTCTAGACACCCTGTCTCTGCATATAATTGTGAAGTACTGGGTGTTAGAACCTCAGTGTAGGAATATATATATATATATATATCATTCCTTAATACAGGAAAGTTAAAAAAAGTAGAGATTAAGATCAACTAGAAACTATATGTTACATAATGGATTTGAGAAAAAAACATTTTGTTCCTTTTGAAGAACATGAACTAAAGATGGCTTTATGTGGACAAAGATCCCAGCTCAACCTTGGCTCGCAGCTTTCTGCCCCGGCAGCATACCTTTCTGACAACAGTTTGTCTGTGAATGTTAATAGCAACTGTCTGTCCCTGCCATGCGGGACATGGAAAACCCATCAGAGTGCAGGTGATGAGGTTGTTTCTCATGTCTTCCAGAGACTTCCTGAAAGAAGCTTTCCAGAAAGAATCCCTAGATGGACCCAGTGGTCAACTCATGAAAGGCAAGATCATGTTTTCCCAGGTGAGAGGACACTATGTGGCCCCCTTGGGGAGTGGTTCTCTGCTTCATTCTATTCCTACTCTGACATCAAGTCTCTGAGGGCAAGAGCAGGTCTTCCTCACATATGTACCTCTCCCCGTACCCCATAGCTCATAAAGCCAGCAAGAAGGCTTTAGGCTCCTGAAGGTGTGTTTAGAACTAGTTTGTGGTCTCTTTGAGCCAGAGGGACATTTCCAAGTCCTGGAAGAATTGTGACAGGGAAGACAATAGCCAGAGTAACTATTCTAGGACAGGACCACTGGACTGCTAACTCAATAACTATACAGTGGGTAGGCTTTGGAGCCAGAGGCTGGGCTTGAATCATAGGTTCCAAGTCTCTCTTTGCTATTTGTGAAATAATCAATGATACCACCAGTATCTGAGAAGCAGGAAAATGCTTACTGTGGTGCATGGCACTCAGTGCTCAATAAAATGAGCCGTTCTTGTGACTACAACCTCAGTTCTTTTCTAGCAAGATGGTTGGTATATAACAGCATTAGTGGGTCTACTGAGAATCTGTTTATAAGACCACTGATTAAAAAATAATCTACTCTGAAAAATTGTATCATAGCTACTCATAACTAGGTCAGAAAATTTAGGACCCGCCCTGAAGAAAAAGCTCACCTTTTATGTGGTATTAATGGAAACACTGCAGTCACTTTGTTTTTTAAATATTTATCTTTATTTTTTTATTCATGTGTATGTGTATATGTCTGTGTGAGTGCCTGCCATACATGTGCAGGTGCCTATGGAGACCAGAAGAGAGCATCAGATTCTCTGGAGCTGGAGTTACAGGCTGTTGTGAGCTGACTGATGTGGGTGCTGGGAACTAAACTCAGGCCCTCTGGAAAAACAGTTATGTGCTCTTAAATGTTGAGCCATCTCTCCAGCCCCTGCAATTACTTTATAACACAGACACAGACACAGACACACACACACACACACACACACACACACATACACACACACACACACACACACACACACACACACACACACCATGGCAGTCAGCAAAGGAAAATTGTGATGATACACATTGTTTCTGAAGTTTTAATCAATAAAAAATGTTTCAGCAGTACCGCTGTATGGTTGGGCAAGAGGGGAATAGCATACATTTTCAATGAACTATGGATGGTTTTAGAACAAGTTTCTAGTAATTGGAATGATTACCCTGCATCCAATTCAACCTTCAGTGGTTTCTGCTAGCCTAGAAACTCACTCAGCTAGAAGTTTGAGAAATTCAATTATTCTAGGATATAGGTTTCTAAAACCTGAATTGTCTTAATCATATTGGAAGTGAGCTTCATCTTTTAACTTCATTTATGTGTGGTGTGCAAACAGAAAAGTCCCCACAGTGCAGAGCTGGATGAACTTTCCAAACTGAACACTCATGATTCAGGAGGTGTGGTGGACACGGTGGGGCCCTCTCTGAACTCTCCTCAAACAACTGCTGCGTCTTTTCTGACCCCATCCACCACCCCTCCCTGTGGCAGACTTTACACAAGTGGGGCTTTGCTTTCTGGAATCTTCTTCTCAACATGCACTTGGCACTCACAGATGCTTTGCGTGCAATGGCCGATGGTTTCATTCTGGTTGTTTCATTATAGGGGATTACACTGTATGGATGTATCTCTCTGTGTACCCACTCTGGCACTGATGGATTTCTGGGTGGTTTTCAGTTTAAGACTCTTAAAAATAGTGTTGCAAAGATGCCCCATGCATACCACGATCCATTCTGCTGTTGGCTTGCTAGGGCTCAGTCTTAGCCTGGGCTGCTATTATAAATACACTGTAGACTGGGCAACGGGCAGTGGCCATTTGTTTTTCACCATTCTGGAGGCTGGGAAATCCGAGACAGTATCTAAGGAGGGCATTCTTCCTGGATTCCAGTTGGCCATCTTGCTGTACCCTCACAAGAGAAAAAGCAAGCTCCCTATTTCTCTTTATACAGGTGTTCCTAGGGGCTCACCCTCATGCCCCAATCATCTCCCCAAAGCTTCACCTCTTGATAATGTACATTAAGGATTAGGGCTTCAACATAGACATTTTTAGACATAAGCATTTAGTCCATTGCAGACTGAGTGGCTCAAACTGAGGCTGGAAATTCTAGATCAAGATATCGGCAGGACTGGTTTCTTTTGAGGCTTCCACTTGTAGACAGCTGCTTTCTAGAACATGGTATCTGTATGTTGTTTTCCCCCTGTGTTACTAGAATGAAATGCCTGAGGTAATTGACGTAAAAAGAAAGGTGCATTTCTCTCATAGATAAGGAGATTTCCAGTCTCAGATCAGTCAGCCCTACAGCCCTGGGTGTCTGGCATGGGCACCACATCGTGGTGGGAATGTATGTCAGGCAAACCACTCACATCATGGACCAGGACGTAAAAAAGAGAGGCTAGGAGGCTGCCAACCCACCATCTCCTTCAAAGACACAAACTCAGTGGCCTTAGGACTGCTCACCAGGCCTGACTCCTGATGAGTCCATTCTCCCAATAATGTAGCCCTTTTGGACAACTCTTCAAACCATAGCAGTGTGGCCATGTCCTGGTCTTTTCCTCTGAGGATGCCAGTTATATTGAATTAGTGTTCATTCAAATGACCTCATTTTGCCTGAATTGCATCTTTTTTTATTTATTATTTTCATTTTATGTGTATGAGTGTTATATCTACATGTAGGTAAGTACATCCATGTCGTACAACGCCCACAGAGGACAGAAGAGGCTGTCGGATCCCCTGGAACTGGAGTTATGGACAGTTGTTAGCTGCTGTGTGGGTGCTGGGATTCGAACCCGGGTCTTCTACAAGAACAGTCAGTGTTCTTAACTGCTCAGCCATCTCTCCAGCCCCCTGAATTGCATATTTAAAGTCTGTGTCTCCAAATGCAGGACAGGGGTTGGGTCTTCAAAACATGTCAGCTTTAACAGGACCTTATTCAGCCCATACCAGTGGATAACTGTGTAGTTTCCTGTGTTGGGGCTGAGTGTTACCTTAATGTTTTTAACTCTTATGCCAATTCCTATCTTGAGACCCTGACCCACCAGTGACAGCTTTATGACTTCAGGAAGTAACTAAATCAAGAATAAGATCCGGGCATTTTTGCCCACATCTCTTGGGTAGCACACATTGACGTTCCTTGGGGGCATGTTCCAGGCAGTGATACATACACACTTAGTACTACCGAACCTTGTCCATGGTTGCATGAACTGCCTCCCTCCTTGATTTGCTTTTACAGTGGGTGCCACTCATGGAAGAAAAGTACAGAAAGCTCTCAGAGGCCTCAGGGACTCGCCTTCCAGAGAACTTCTCTGTAAGTCAAATCTTCAGCGATGCCATATCCGCAAGAAGCATCAACCGCCCCATGCTTCAGGCAGCTACTGCTCTCAAAAAGAAGGGTAAGGGTCCCCTCCTGGCCATCCCCTGGCCTGACCACACCAGAGCCCTTGGAAGAGTGAGCAGGGCCCCCGGTAGGGCCCTACTCTCAGGAGCCCCTGTGGGGCATATGGAGCATCACAGGGCAGAGTTCTATAGCTGATCTGCTTTCTGGAAATCCTCTGTTCAGGATTCACAACGTGCATTGTCACAAACAACTGGCTGGATGACAGTCAAAAGAGAGGTAGCCTGGCCCAGCTGATGTGTGGGCTGAGCCCCCACTTTGACTTCCTGATAGAGTCCTGTCAGGTTGGGATGATCAAGCCTGAGCCTCAGATCTACAAGTTGTTACTGGAGACTGTGAAAGCCAATCCCAATGAAGTAAGTTGACACTTCCTTTCAGGGGGTGGGGAAAAGGGTGCCCCAAAGATATTGCAACCAAAGAACAACTGAGTTTACAGACTGGGATATATTTGGGGCCTGGAGGGTTCTAGGTCTGTTCCTCCTGTGTCAGGAGGGAAGGTTTTTACTCATAGCTGAGTCTATAGAGTTCCACCCAAGGTGGGCATCTGACCCTTTCGTGTGGCTCTAGGGCTCACTAAATGCTGTTAGAGCAGTACCCCAATTTACTTGTGAGAAGACAGAGACTCTGAGAGGCTTCACCAAGAACCCAAAGCCATTGAAGACCATCTCACCAGAAGGCGATCAGGAACGGGTCTCCTGCTTCAGCCTTCTTGTCCAAGCATCTTTGGGTCCCTCAAATTCCATCTGTGTTTAGTGTCCTGAGATTTCTTACGCTGAAACACTATTTTCATTGTGGGCTCCTAATCTAATCTTCAAAGGGTGACTGGACCCCACTCCGTCATATGCTGTCCCTTTCTCTTGCTGGAGCGGCCGTAACTAGGTAATCACAACATAGCTAGACCCTCATCCCTGAGGACCACACGCTTCATCTCCTCATCAGAGCAGCCTCTGGTCATATGACCACCTGTTTCCCTCTGCTGTTCTTTCTCACATGAGGCTTCCTCTTGCTGATGTCCATGCTTGTTTGGGTCCAGGTTGTTTTCCTAGATGACTTCGGGAGTAATTTGAAGCCAGCCCGTGACATGGGAATGGTTACCATCCTGGTCCGGGACACTGACACCACCCTGAGAGAGCTGGAGAAAGTCACAGGGACACAGGTAACTTTAAGTCTGAGCAGAGTCTGGCTTCCTGCCACCCGCTGTAGTGTATATGATGACAGAGATCTGGAAGTCACAGTGCTCGCGGCTACATGGGTTTTCTGGGGCATCTCAGTGGGCACTCCATCACCATGGTACAGGGAGTCCACCATCCTTGATCAACACCGTGCTTCTTTCTCTTTAGTCAGTGAGAAAGAAACAGACAATCTGAGAGTAAGAGTTTAAACTAGCCTTTGTGTGAGTCAGGAAACTAGGACAAGAGAGAGGCAGTCAAGGGCTGGGAGATGGCTCTGTTGGTAAAGTGCCTGCTGTCGCAATCACAAGGACCCGAATGTGATCTCCAACACCTATGTAAAAGACGGGTGTGGTGGCGCAGGCCTGTAGTCCCAGCACTTGGGAGGCAGAGGCAGGCGAATCTCTGTGAGTTCAAGGCCAGCCTGGTTTACATAGTGAGTTCCAGGCCAGCTGGGGCTACAGGGAGACACTGTTTCAAACAGACCAGGAAAAAAAAAAAAGATGGGCATGGGGCATGCATCTGTAATCCCAGTGCTGGGGAGAGGTGGACAGGCAGATCCCTGGAGCTCATTGGCTAGCTAATCTAGCCAATCATTGAGCTCTGGGTTTGGTTAGAAACCCCATCTCAAAAAATAAGGTGGAGAGTAACTGAGGGAGACAGTGGCGTTGACTTCTGACCTCCACACGCATGGGCACATGGGGGCCTCAAAGCCTTGATCTTGCTCTTTGAGATAAATATGGAGAAGGACTTTTTGTTCTACTTGCTGTGTGTCCCAGGCTAGACTCTTGGACAAGGGATTCTCCTGCCTCAGCCTCTGGAGTATTTCAGGGTGAAGCTGTCATGTTGAGTTAAATGTGGAGAATTCTTCCTCTGAAGAGCTGCCCAGCCATGGCACTCAGCTGACAAGCTCCTCCTGTCCATGCTGTCTTGGCAGGGTGAGGGAATCTGAATAACCCTCACATAGGCCTGAAGAGCCTTTATACTGTCTCTGAGCTGCCTGGAAACTTGCTGGCACCTCAGATCTAAGGTATCTGTATTCTTCAGATTGGCTTGAGAAAAGTGGTCACACTGAGCCCTGGGGTGGACTCCCACCACGCTTTGCAGTGATGCAGCCCTGGCTCCAACACCATGAGCAGAGAGGATGCAGGAGAGAGCTGGTGCCCCATTGAGCTTTCCAGAGGCACAGGGCCTCCAGCTGATTACTCACAGGGAACTGCGTTATTTGGCAAGGGCTACCTTAAGAAGGTAACAGATTGGGGAGCTTTAGTGGCGGAAGTTTCTCATTCCACCATTCTCCAGGAGGTTATCTAAGGTCAAGATGGCAACAGGTCTCAGGGCGTTGGTTTTTTCTAAGGCCTCTCTCTTTGGCTTAGAGGTGGCCGCTTTCTCTCTGTTGTTTCACGTGGTCTCGCCCTGTGTGTGTCTATGTCATAAACTTGGCTTCTTGTAAAGACACTAGGCAGTTTGGGTTAGGGCCCATCCATATGACATCATTTCACCTTAATTATCTTTTAAAAGACCCTGCCTCCAAATGCACTCACATCCTGAGCTGCCAGGAGTTAGGATCTGGGCAGGACTCCCCTTCCGAGTTGGGAAACTTCTTCTATCATTAAAATCTTTTATTATTTTTATGTATATGAGTGTATTGCCTGCATGTATGTAAGACACCTGTGTTGTGCAGTCACCTCGGAGGTCAGAAGAGGGTATAGGAGCCCCTGGAACTGGAGTTACGTGTGGTTGCTAAACACCATGTGGGTGCTGGAAACTGAACCCAGGTCCTACAAGAGCAGTCAGTGCTCTTAACCACTGAGCCATCTCTCTAAATCAGTCCTTCTGTCTTTAAAAGGAAAGTGGGTTCTGTAATTTGTTGCCCCCATTTTAGAGGTTAGAAAACTGAGACACTGAGGCACCTTTCTTAGATGGCACCTCCTGGACTATAGCAGTAAATGATGCACAGCACGCACTGTTGGGGTTCTGGCATCAGGAAATTTATCCCCAAGTATGCTTATCCTCTGTCAATTATGCTTTGGGAAACAGTACCAATAAGGTAAAGAAGGACCCCAAGGGCTCATTGTTCAGGTATTCAGGAACTTTTTCTTCCTTAACTCGATGCCATCCAAAGACAAGTCAATGGAAGCCTCTGAGACTCCAGAGGACAAGGACAGGACCTGCGGGCAGGCTGTTATGTGCTCGGGTCTCTGAAATTCACATACCAAAGCCTTAAACCATGTGTGACTGGATTTAGAGATGGGCTTGAAAGAGGTAATTAAGGAGACCAGCAGGGCGGACCTCAATCTAACATAACTGGTCTCCATGTAAGAAGAGGAGGCCTGAACACCGACACACAGAGCAGAGGGGTGGCTGTGTGAGGACAGTGGGGAGACAGCCAACTATAAGCCATGGAGGAAGGCCTCAGGAGAAACCAGCCCTGCTGATACCTGCATCTCAGACTTCAGGCCTCTGCAACTATTATTGAAAGTTCATAGTCTAGTACATTGTGGTGGGAACTTGAGTAGATGAAGAGAGAGACTCAGAGTGAGGTTGGAGCTCGATGACTGGATGGAGACACCTTTCCACAGAGGTGCTCACTATGGAGAAGCAGCCATGTGAGTGTTGCACTCCTGCTGTGTCCAGCGTGAGCCTGGTGGCCATCTCAGGATCGCAGTGAAGAACAGTGGATGAGATGGTCTGAAATTACAGAGCTCAACAGCAAGACTTGTTTCTTTCCGGCTTATATGATATTCAGTCAGTGGGGGCCTGGGGTGTTGTGGAACACTGTCATTCAGGGTCCTGTGAGGACAGAGGACCTGCTCTCATCCTTTGGGGGATTCCAGGATCCCACAGGACACACAGGTGAAAGATGGGAGACTGTAGAGAATCATGGGATGGTTTAGGAGGCCATGAACTCCAGACTGTATTCCATTGGCCAAAACTCAGCCACAGGACTCCAGAGGACCTAGCAGGAAGGTGGAGCCATTGAGGCCAATTGTGTCTGAAGTGAGCGGACTTGGGTCATGGGGATGAGTAAGATTCACTCAGGAAGGTGGTAGAGGTGACGTGTGGGATCTCATAGAGATGCTGTTGAGAATGGCTTGTGGAATGACTGTGCCCATTTGATTTCAGCTTCTTCCTGTGGTCCCTCTGCCAGTCCCCTGCAATGTAAATGACGTGAGCCACGGGTACGTGACCATAAAGGTAAGTCAGCTGGGTACTTTCTGACCACACATGAAAGAACAAGGGTCATTGAGTTAAGGGCCACCTTCCCGACTTCATTTTACCTCAAGAAGTATAATCAGAAATGCTTTACCTATCTTCCTTCACCCCAAAGTTAGGAGCTGGGGGATGAATCTCTGGGGAGTCCCAGCCAAGCCAGGCCCTCAGGGCACTGGGACACTGGCTGCCATTCTTTCTTAACTGCAACCTAAACTGAGTTGGTCGCTCTCCTTTCTCATCTTCAGGTTCTTCAATCATTTATTAAAGGGAGTACTGGCGACTGGCAAATGGCTCAGTGGTTACAGGCGCTTGCTGCCAAGCCTGAGGACATAAGTTGATTCCTGGAATCCTCATAATGGAAGGAGCTAAACAACTCCCTTATAGTGTCTCTGTGTCTAACACAGACAGACAGACAGACAGACAGACACACACACACACACACACACACACACACACCCAGCACCCACATAACAAGCTAAATGCTGCACATGCATGCACACATGCACACACACACACACACACACACACACACACACAAATAAATAAACAAATGTTAAGAAAAAGAACACATTTTAAAAGTGATGTGAAAGGACACGTTTGCCAAGCTTCTCAGTTGATTATGAAGGATCAAGAGAACCTTTTAACTGGGACTTAGTATGATGCAATTTTTAAGGTAAAGGTTTGAGAATTTAGATTTAACATCTACAGGTGCTAAAGGGAATGCCTTGGGATATATTCTGACAGTTTGTAGTCTGTGAAATGCATGCTTAATTATTTTGTGAGCAGAATAGCTTGCTTCAAATCATAAATAGAACTCCCAGTGTGGGGTGGCGGTTTGGCGTCATCTGAAATGCATCTGCAAGGTGGATTGCTTCCCATGAATTTCTGTCACATGACTCTTATGTTCATAGGCAGTTGCATGAGAATGTTGGAGACATGTAGGTGGGAGAAAAACGAGATGTTTAGACAGTGTATCATTTTAGTTTCTTTACTTAGAGCTCGCTGTAACAGTCAGTGTAGGCTAAATGCTGTATCAAAGGCCCCAGCAGTATCAGTGGCTTTGTACCAAGTGTTTCTCAGCTGTAGCACTTAGCACTGCAGGCACCTTCCCCATAACAATTCAAGCACTTAGGCATCTTCTCTCAGTCCTCCACTTTTTCCAAAACTCAGTTCATGGAGGTACAGATAGGAAGAGGAGGGCCCTGGGTGGACCACACATTTCTCCTCCTTACAATCCATTGGCCATAACTCAGTCGTGTGACCACATCAGCTGTTCCCAGTAGGTGGGTATGTCGAAGAAATTGCCAGCACGTGCCAAGGAGAAAGGAAAACACAGATATTGGGCGCTCTAGTGGTCAGTCTTGACCTTATAGCCTCCCCCAAAGGACTTTAGTAACAATTCATGTTTAAAGAACAGGCGGCTGGGGAGGGGAGATGGCTGTCAGTGAACATAAGGGCCCGAGTTCCATCCTCAGAGCCCACATAAAGAAGCTGCACATGGTGGCAGGTGCTTGTGAGCCTACTGCTGGGGAGGCCTCTACCTAGTGGTGATGGATCCCTGGTGCTCACTGACCAGCAAGCACAGCCTACCTGACAAGCTCCAGGCCAGCGAAAGATTCTGCTTCAAAAAAACAAGGTGGTCAGTTCCTAAGGAGTGATATCCAAGGTTGACCTCTGGCCTTCACACACACACACACGAAGTAAACAGCTTTTAATCAATAGACTATTCTGCACATTACTGTAAATATTTTGTGTGACATCAGCCCCCAATTGGAAATGTTCCTAACACGTCAGAACAGCCTGAGACACTGCCAGCATCAAGCTGCTTTAGAGAGGAAGGCTAAATTGTTTTGTTGCTTCCAATCTCATGATCTTTTCATGTCAGAGTGAAAACTGCCTGTTCTGTTGTCCATATTGGCCACTGACAATTCCCAGACATCTTTGCCTAGCACTGGGGTCTTGAGTCGAGGTGGCTGAGCCCTGTGTGATCCTTCCACCCACTCTACTGGGCCCCTGGAATGCAGTCTGCGTAAAGAAGTCCTGTTCTCCCTGGATTGCGACCAAGATCACTGCTGTCCCCTTTCTCTCCCACAGCCTGGGATCCATCTGCATTTTGTGGAGATGGGCTCTGGCCCTGCAGTGTGCCTCTGCCATGGCTTTCCCGAGAGCTGGTTCTCTTGGAGGTATCAGGTAAGGGAAACTGAGGAAGGAGCTCCCCGGTCAGGGTGAAAGGAGGGGATATCTAGATGGTGCAGCCCAGCCTGGAATGTTATGGAAACATTTCCAAATTGTGACCTCATCGATGCAGGGGTGCAGGAGGGCTCCAACACTCAGGACTGAACTGAGCCCTAAACACGTGCACAGATTAGAAAAAGATTCTTGAAGTCATTCTTTACCTCCTTCTGGGAAGTCTTCGTAATGAACACAGAAATTCACAAGGGCTTGGTCAGAAAAGGTGCCATGTTTGATACAGCTTTGATGCAGTACACAAACCCCACTGCTGTTCACAGTGGTCCTGTGAGGTGGGCTCCTTCCAGCTCCATAGGAAGGAGATTGACAGGTGCCATGTGGGACTTTAGATTGAGCCATTTACAGGAAGGAGGGAAGGAAACCGGGATGCAAACAAGGAAGGTCGGCCCAGGACTGGTGGGACCACACCGCCATGCCCCTGAACCATTTTATTTTCCAGATCCCTGCTCTGGCCCAGGCGGGTTTCCGGGTTCTAGCTATGGACATGAAAGGCTATGGAGACTCGTCCTCCCCTCCTGGTGGGTTGGCTGTCCTGCAGATGTCCTTTCTGGTTACGTATCTCCCTGTCTGAGCTATCTAGCTCCACTGAGCTTGCCCTGCCCAATGCAAACAGACATGACAGGGCCCCTTATCCTTTCCTGACTGTCCTGTACCCTTGGGCTTTGGGCCTCAGATGCTCCTGCTTAGCACACTCTGAATGACCCAGGAAGGCCACAGGCCTGTGCCTGAGGCCGCTGACTGCTGGTGGTCAGGGATGTGGGATGTAGGATGTACCTTCCACTTCTAGACAGGCTCTCCCTCGTAAGCCAAGCTGAAAGCCAGAACTCGTTATATAATAACTCCTCAGCTCTCCCTCCCTTCCACCCCAGCCACCCCTATTCTAATCTCCCTCTGTATGTGGATGTGGCTGGTCTAGCTGCCTCCTCTCAGTGGGATCATACACTATCTCCCTTTTATGACTGGCTGATCTCATCTAATATCTGTGTGGTATTGTAGCAGCTCCATTATTTTGGGCTGCATGGTGTCAGTGTGTGCACCACATTCTGCCCACCCATCTACCCATCCATCCATCCACCCGCCCACAATGAATACTGGGTTGCCGCCATCTTTTGACTACCTTCAGTATCACTGCTGTGATGTGGGCATGTGTATGGTTGTGTGTCATGGGTTTCCACTCTCTAGGATACACACTCAGGCGTGAACTACTGGATGCTATGGAAGTTTATAGGATAGATCCAAACCCTGTGTCTGTGGATCCCATAAATGAGCATTAGACAGTCTCTGAACCACAAGGTCATGTGTAGATTCACAAGGAAGCATTTTCCCTTGTGGGTAGGGTACTTTGTTTTAGCAGTTTCAGAGGAATCCTCAGCCTAAAACTCTTCAGAACCCAGGTGTGGAGCTGGGTGTGAGCACAGCCCCTTTAAGGGCAGCGATGCTGTGGGCAGCGGGCTCATGAGCTGCCTACTGCTCACCACTCGCTGAGCTGCTGTCCCCGTGATCACATCCAGTTTGTCCGGCTGCTGAGCCTGAAGCCCACCGACCTGGCCAGGGGCTTTGGCCACTCAAGTGGTCTCCTGGCCCTCGGCATGTCATGCTGGAGGGTGTGCCATGGTCATTCCCTAAGTGTGGTGATGTCTGCTTGACAGTGGTTCCGGCCTCCTGGATGATGTGCAGACACTTTAGAGGAAAAGGAACCCTTCAGTTTGAACACCCAGGGAAGACAGCTTTCAGTTTCTAATTCAATTACAAAAATGGTTTTTATTTACATCACAATAGTCTTCTCTGAATTTTCTAAGCATGACTTGGTGACGTAATTTAACATTCTGTAGAACACTTTGAAAAGTGAACCAGACACTTGCACGCTGAAAAATGAATATGATTCACACGTAAACTATATGATTAAATGATTAACACGCAAACTGAGATGTCTTTTCTTACGCTAATCATATCTTTTTCTCCCCTTAGAAAACATAATTTGCATGTTAGCTGTTATTGAAAGAGCATATGTAAAACAGATTCCAAAGCAGGTCATGATTTGGAACGCACATTTCAGATCTCCTGGTGTCATCACTTGATGACAGACCACAGGTGAAATCCTTTTCTGTTAAAACGCTATCGCCCTCGTCTTGTTGTTTTTGAGCTTCTGTTGTTGAGACCGAAGCCTCTGCTCTGTGAGCCTTTCCGTGTGACTCCTGGGTTGTTTTCTTTCATCTTGCTTTAGACACATTTACAATCTTTTTTTTTTAA